GAAAAAGAAGGGGAGGGGGAGAGCGCTTTAAACTTTCTATTAATTTTTTAACGAACGTTGTATAACGATTTGTTCGCTCTCTGTGAGCGATCAAAGTCAAAGGACACTCTTCGCTTCGACGTTAAATAACTTAGCAAAAAGACATCGCACCGCAATCTGCCGGCACGTCAATTAAAAGGGAAATTCTGCGCTTTTAAGCGTTGGGAGCATCGTTGATATATTGTTTATTTGTGTAGTTGTTGTTCTTACGTTTCGAACGTCCCAAAAGAGGGACCTAACGAGGCAGCTAATGTACCTTCGCATTTGCTGGCCAAATTTACTGTCAGCTCTGCAGCCATCAATGGCCGGAAGGTGTCAATTTACGCTGTTGTAGACGCACGTTCGGCTGTCCTTTATACTTGGGTCAAGGAACTGAATCTCTTTAGCCGGGATAGGTTCGTAAATGAAGTGCCGAGGACCGAGGGCAGCAGGACGATGCTTGATGCGAGTGGTGAGCGTGGCGAGCGGTAGGTGAGTATGAGTAAGTGAAATTGTTCCTTTAAGCGTTTAACCATGGGACGTCGTGGATATTCGAGACTTCTCCTTTGCATTTCAAGGAGCAGTGCAAGATTAGGAGCTGGTAAGAGTGGAGGTGATACTGTCTCGTATAATAATCAGGGAGTCATCGTTTACTATTCTCTTGCTGAAAGCGAGATGAAAAAATGAAAAGTTATCGCGAGACGTTTTTTCATATAAAAGACGAGAGAGAGGGAGAGAGAGAGAGAGAGAGAGAGGGGGGAGAGGAAAGGGAGACTTTTGTGGTGGTCACGTCTTGGAAGAGATACGCAACAGCCACGTGCTTGCTCTCGTACTGTAGTCTCGAGTAGCTGGTCGAGTAACTCGAATAGCAGGTCTGCAAATCAAATTAAGGACCAGCAGGCTCCATTTATACCACTTAAATCTTTTAATAACGAAAATGATATATGAAGATTAGAGTAGAGAGGTAATTCATGTTGCTTGATATAGTACAATCCACGGTCGAACACAACGGGAGCGGCTTATTTAGCGGATATGATATTACACGAATAGAAATGGTTTTTATTTAATTATTAGGTGTACAAATGAATAATCCAAATTATTTTAAACAGTTATGAAATCAATTTTAAATTGAATAGATTTTCCCGCTCTTTTGTGATTATGCAATGTTGACATATCCCAGGTAGCAGACTGACGTCAAATGACGTACTAATGACGTCTTAATGACGTTAGAGACGTCATTAAGATGCTACCAGGGATAGCTATTAAAAAGAACATATAGTTTGACGAAAGGCCCAACATAACCTTCAAAAATATTCAGTTAAGTACAGTCGAAAATGGCAACAGATAAGGTGCATATCCGACACTGCATTCTTTACGAATTCCAATAAGGAAAAAACGCGCTGCAAGAGCGTGCGAATCGATTTGTTCCTTTCTCGGCGAAGGTGTTGTATCGTACGATGTGTGCGCATTTTGGTTTAAGCGGTTTAAAAGCGGTAATTTCAGTCTAATCGACAAACAACGCCCTGGAGGTCCTCCGAAGTGCGATAATGATGATTTGGAACAACTGCTCACTGAGAATTCGGCACAAACACAAAAAGAGCTTGCAGAACAGTTGGGAGTAACGCAACAAACGATTTCCAAACGCCTACATGAGATGGGAAAGATCCAGAAAGAAGGAAAATGGGTGCCTAACCGCATGAACTCACTGAAACCAACAAAAATCAACGAGTGGCAGCGTGTCTTTCTCTTCTCAATAAGCAGCGTCGAAAGCAGCTTTCTTGTGGAAAATCGTTACGGGCGATGAGAAATGGATACTCTATGACAATCCGAAACGCAAAAAGTCATGGGTAAATCCCGGCGAATCATCAAAATCGGTCGCAAAATCCAATCGCTTCGGAAAGAAGGTTCTTCTCTGCATTTGGTGGGATATCAAGGGCGTGCTTTATTATGAGTTGTTGGAACCGGGAACTGAAACAGTTACTGCGGACTACCAACGTCAATTAATCTGCTTGAGTCAAGAATTGGAACGAAAACGCCTGTATACTGGCAAAGGAGAACGTCCAGTGAAATTGTTGCATGACAACGCCAGGCCACACATTGCTTCCAATACATAAGACACCATAATGAGTCTTGGCTGGGACGTCTTGCAGCACGGCCGGCGTATTCACCAGACATTGCTCCATCCGATTATCACTTGTTCCGGTCGATGCAACACGCCTTGTTCGATATGCACTTCCAATCGGTGGATGAGATCCGAAAATGGCTTGACGACTTTATCGTGTCCAAAGACGTAACATTTTTTCGAAATGGAATTCATCAGCTGCCTGAAAGCTGGCTTAAAGTTATAGAAAGCAACGGCGAATACTTTGATTGAAAAATTTAATTTACTTTCTTTTAAAATAAACCTTGAATGTAGCTGAAAAAATTGGATTATTCATTTGTACACTTAATACATTTCTCGGCGTATGTGTGCATTGTGTGTGCGAGCTTCGCGGCATAACGTGGAATTGGTAATAAGGTGGATGGTAAAAGTAATGCATATGAAGTAAAAGTAGACTTGCCGTTCAAGCGGACTGACTACGGCAGATACGGTACGTAAAACGTGAATGTTGAGAGAGGGAAAACTCACGATGGAAAACTGCTTATTCTACAGGAAATGTTCCTTAAACTCATTGCGTATGTGTTGGAGGTTCAGAGGTGTTTGACAGCTTCAAATAAAGAAATGACGAGTCACCTAACCACGTGACCTCGCATATTGATTTTTTCCAAATCGGACTTTACTTTTGAAAATCGAAAGTCACTCGACTTAGCCGCTAATGATTATTTTTAAACTGAAATCCGATTTGCGTGATTACCAGTGATAATCTCCAAAATATTCGAGACGATCTTAGAGACTAAATTTTCGAATATTTTAGCGGTGCAGAAAAATGAATTCATTGTTTTAAAAAATGTTTTGAAATTAAGGGGGTGATTGTATAAGAAAATAGAAATAGTTTCGTTTTATCGCATTTTTATACACTTGGGTCGGAAATTACTAGCGGACGTATCTAGCAAACGGTGATAAATCCTGAAAACCCATTTCGGAGAATATTACTTCAAGATTACAAAAATCTACTCTTACCTGAACCAGCCGCTTGATTGTGCTTGCTCCTATCATGAAAAGTATAAATTAATCACAGATCTATTTCTCAAGATGCACAGCCGTATCTTGATGATACGTGAGTCTTCGCAGGAGTTTTCTCGCTTGCCAGTGAGTCACGGTTTTACTTACCCGATTAGGAATAATTTTGCTAAAAATTTCGAGAACAATTGTATAGGAACGATAAAATGTCATTAATATGACGCATCAGATTTGTCGGGTCTGAGGAAACTTATACTTGCATTCAACGTGCCACTCAAGATGTCAAGCAAACAGGGTTGCAAAGTTTTGCATACGTGTGTGTATGTGTGTGTGTGTGTGAACCTGGCTGGATTGGCGTCAGGGTCAACTTTCTGAAGTCTTGTCAATCGCCGCGAGGAATTCCACTATACTAGAAACACAGTACTGAATTCTACTGACTTACATTATACATTATATCCAATATTGAACCGCGTCAAAACATCTATTGGAATCATTGTTCTCTTAATAATGAAATTTTACCACATATACCACGTGTACATCCCGGTCTCTAAACTCTCTTCTTGTCTCTTTGGAACTTTTCGAGCAGACTGAACTTTTGCGAGCTCTCTTGGCGATAACGACGGTTATCCGACAGTATCGACGTTACATAGCAACGTTATTTCCCAAGAATAAAGTAATAAGTTGTATCATCATCTTAAATTTAACCAGTTCCCTGGTGGACTCGAATTCAATGTTTCGTGCCAGAACTGGTGAGAGCGTATAATTTCGTACTTTGCATGGGAGCTTATCTATAAAGTCTTTTGGGTCGCTGGTGACGAATCCAGGACCAAAATTCCAAAATTAAAAATAGCGGATTTAATATGACGGCTTCAAGTAGCCAACTTTGATATTCCATTATGGATACGTATCAAATCTGAGGTTTCCACCAAAGCTATTTGACAAAGAAACAGTTTCCTTCAACACATTTCACCCGTTAATAGTGGAGGTGAGAGTATCCCTAATGGAACCGTTGGTCATTAGAAGCCGCCATATTGCCCCCGCCATTTTAGATTTTGTCATTTTAGAATTTTGATTGGATTCATCAGCAGCAGCTTGCAAAACATGAACATATCGATCTGTAATGGACTAACACAATTAGTCGCTTGGAGCCGCCATGTTGGATCTGCCGTTTCGAATCTTGAAATTTCGACCCCGAGTTCGTCTCGAAAAATTTTCTAAAAAAAAGATTGCACAATAAAATTAAATGGAGCTATTAATCTTAATAGATATTCTTCAATAATTGACATAATTGAGTATTTAAAGGCCGCTATATTGGGCTCACTATGCATCTCTCAAATTTGATTCCGGATTCATAGTCAGCGACCCAAGAAAACATGGTTGCATCAAGTTTGATGCAAACTTGCAAAGTGGAAAACTTGCAAAGATGTTCATATATGAGTTCATGATGCTCATATATGAGTCATTAGCAGTGGCGTTTTTCTCTTCTTTGCTCATACATGAATCATTACCAGTGAACTGGTTAACGATAAAGCCGATAACATAGAGCTTCAGAGCTCGCGAACAGAGGCGTCTCTCTCATGGATTCAGCAAAAGGGTAAAAAAATCTCGGAGAATTGCGGGCCCCAGGTTGGGATTAAGGATCCTTTCGAGGAGGAGGGTCGGCCGAAGAATTGGAGAAAAAATAAAACAAAGAAGCGCGGTACTGTAAGAGGAAAACCAGAGACGGCAGTGGAGGTGGCGGTGGCGAGTGTGCACGTATGTACGTACGAGTGAATGAGCGAGTGAGTGACTTGACAGAGCGAGGAGAGAGGGGAAACATGGAAGCGACGTGGAAAGAGAAGCGGCAGATGAATCCGGGCGCTCGCGGCAGATGGTATCTCCTCGTGCGAGGTATCCACGGCGTGTCCGGTGCGCCGTGTGAGCGAAGAGCAAAGTTCGCCCGAAGTTCGCCGCGACTTCTTCTCGCGGAAGCCGCTGGACGCGGCCCGGAAGAGCGCGCAGTTTCTCAAGCGCTCGCGCGCACCGCGCCGCGCCGCTTGGACACGTGGTGCGTGCCGCCAGCGGGACGTGCAAAATACCCAGGACAATCGCGTTAATTGCGAGAGAGCGGCGCTGCAAGATCGATCAGAGCCGTGAAGCCTTGAGGGGAAAGAAAGCGAGAGCGGCCGATTGATTCGGCGATCAGACGTCGATGGAGAAGCACGCGGCCGCCTCGCTGCTGAAGTTCGGCTCTTGTGGAGACGAAGAGACGGCAAGAAGAGGAAGAGGAAGAGCGCGAGGACAGCAGGACGAGTGCCGGCTGAGCGACTCTCGATGAAGCGTTAATTAAGCAGCCGCTTGCACTCCTCGGGACGTAAAGCCGCGATACATTAAGCAAACGCCGGGGAGGACGAGTGGATTTGCGCGGATATCTGAGGGACTCGGCCGGGGGGGCTGCTTAAGTACTTGACAATTTGGTTTGAAAGATACAAGACGACTGAGAAACACTTGGCCGGCCGCCAAGCCAAGCGAAGAGAAGCGAAGCGAAGCCGCGGAAGCTAAAATCGTAGCGATATCAGTTCCGGCGGCCGACGATTAAACTGCCGAGCGCGCGAGTAATAATTCAACGTCACCCGGATCGGAACTATTTTCACTTTCGGCGTAATCGGCAAGCGCCCGGCAGGATCCGAGTCCGATGACTCAGGCGTAATTCGAAACTGCGAATTCGCGGGAAAATCCGCGGACAGCGGGGAAAAAGTCGGCGTCGGCGGGCTCGTCGCTAACAAACCGTGGTTCGCTGGACGTCGCAACGACGAGTCGCGTCGTCTCCGTCGAGCTGCCCGACAACGTAACCGGCGGCTTTCGTTCAGTTTTCGAGGCAGCAGGAAGAGACGAAGAACGCGATCGGCGACCAGTGCGAAGCGTGTATGTGTCCTTGCGGAGCAGAAGAACTGTGCGTGTTACGGTACGCGATTGCAGATAATAACGCAACGATAGCAAGAGAGAGAGGAGGAGGAAGAGGAGGAGAAGGAGAGTCACGTCGGCAGAGAGCATCCGCGAGCAAACGGAAGCGACAACGGAGAGCGACAATCGGAACGCGATGCCGAGCGATCTTATTAGCGGCGGGGATAATAATCGGGAGCGATCGCTCTCACGTGTAGGACAAACGGCTAATTGCAGCCTCCGCGTCATTATGCTCACCGCGAGGCTCGTTTCCCTCGTCTGCGCGTTACTCTCGGCGAAGCCGGTATCCTCGGAGTCGTACCTGCTGAAATGCTGCCCGCCGGGGCAGCTTTATTCCGGCTCCAAATTGAACTGCACCAAGATGACGAGCAACGCTACGGAGCTGCAGGTTCTTCATGCTAACGCCTCCACGGAGCTCCAAGGATATCCGTTGTGCGACAAACCGGAGGACATCGTGACGAAGAAGCTTGAGGTTTTCGCTTCCGGCGACTACCTGGAGGTAAATGGTCACGCGCGCGACACGTTGGGGAAATTGTTATTGAGCGATGTGTTAACATACTGTCTCTCTCTCCCTCTCTCTCTCTCTCTCTCTTTCTCTCTCTCTCTGTCTCTCTCTCTCTCTCTCTCTCTCTCTCTCTCTCTCGTTCTCTCCCTCGTGTAATTGAAATGTACAGGGTGTTTCAGAAAGAGCGGGCCGGCTGTAGTTGTATCGTTCTCATCGAGAATCGGCGGAAACGCTTAGGTTAAGTGGTTAGGTTAACGTCGAGTCGGAATGGGAGGGATGAATTTCGGAGCGCTAACGAGACGCGTGCGATGATATATTTGCATAAATGAATGTGAAAAACTGAAGGAGGAAAAGAAAAATGTCCACCGTGCGTGGAGCGTAATGCGACTCTTCTTCTTTCTTTTTCGCATCGTGGACTTTTCGCGCGTTCAAACACTCTTGGGGTGTTTTAGAGATAGCGCGTAATTTTACTTTCGTCCTAGATTAATTAGTCCTTCGATAGACTAGTCTTTCCTAAAATAGAATAACTGTGAAGTAAGATTAGGTTATTCAGAGACATTTTTCCGAAATGATTTAAATTTGCTATCTGGACTGAGGAAATTCAACCCTTCGGGTGGTACTCATGTGAGATCTTATGTTTAATCGTCTTATAAATTTATCTTCAGATACTCCGTAACCAATGAGATTCAATCGCCGAGGAATCATCAAAGTGCGACTTTTGGGGTTCGTGTCAACATTTTGAGATTCTTTTTTTTTTAATTTGGGACAGTAAAATCATTCGCGACGAATGCATCAAATAAAATAAAACAAAGTGGGAAGATTAATTGGAGCACAGAGGAAAAAAGTTTCTTGATAAATTCGATATCCAAGTAGAACATAAAATTATGATGGCATCAAAATGACGAAAAAATAGTCAAATCCCGATGAGAAATGAGTCTTCCTCATCATTTTAACGTCATTATGATTCTCTGTTCTGCTCGGCTACTAAAAAGAAAGAACATTACCGAGAAAAGATGTACGGACGCGAACGCGAATGAAGCCAGACAGAAGAATATCGGAGGAAAATTCTTGATAATATCAGTGGACATGTCTCGGGATGTATGTATGCTCCTGTAGTGGTTAAAAGGTTAAACCAACCTTAGACCACCCCTGCAGGTAGTTTAACTTTAAGCTGGATTTCATACAAGACCAAATCATAAAAAAGAGTGTCTCTGAATACAGATGTCGTCAGTCTCTTCTATTGTTAGACCACGACTAAACCACGCTCGTTTTGTCTCTGAACAGCGCCCTTAGAACATTGCGACATCCATCTTTTGTTTTTTTTATAACATCGTTGCTTGTTGTCGATCGGGACCGAGCAAACATCTATCTATCTTCGAGTGACGCCTCATATAATATTCAAGCATAGATCTAATTATTTAAACAAATATTGTTGTATGAATGACGTCGACGTATCGAAATCCATTTTTAATTAAGCGCTTTAGGGGTTTTTTGTTTGTTTTGATGAGAAGAACATAATTACATATAGCCAGACCACCCAATTTTGAAACACCGTGTACACCGTAGCAGACTTGCGTTTCATAACGATTAACGAACAGTTTGCTCCGTTTAGCGTCACCATGTGAACATTTCTACCACGCGTAGAACCGTCTCCCCCACACCTTCAAGGACAACTTTCTCAGCAACAACAAACAAACGCTGGTGTCGCCGAGAAAAATCCCCTCCGCGCATGCTCGTTAAATCGATCTTCCGTCGCTCGCAACTTCATTCCCGTATAGAGCGAAATATCAAATGTCGAGTGTTATTAAATGTATGAACCGCTCCTTTAATCCGTAATTAGACGGCGCACTCGGGGGCATCGTATTTTTGCCGAGCAACGACGAGATAACAAGTGCACGATGAAAAATTCATAGAGACGCGTACGAGGCACACCTCGACGAGAGACAATGTAACATTCGATTTCCGTCTCTCGACGGGATTTCTCGCCGATGCCATGATTGGCTCGCCGCATAGTGGGATGTTTGTATCAAAAAGTTGGTCAAAATTAATTTTTGACGAATTTCGGTTTAAAACGTACTGTTAATCATATATATCATTATGAAGATCATTATAAAGATTTCGTATAAGTTTTTCATGAAATAAAGTGCAAATATATACGTAAAAATATTTTAATAATTAAGAAAGCATAATATTGCACATCAATAAGTATTCAACTAGACAAACTCTAAATTTCTTCATCTAATGAGTGTATTCCATCCGCAGAATCAACATCATTTTCGTCTATTGAAATATCTCCTCTTCTTGGTGTGGGATCAGTGAGAAGAAGCATATCCAATGTCTCCTTTAACCCTTTCATTGCTGAATTAACTCCCCTTGAGAAAATGATTAAAATATTTGGTAGTCCTACGTTTTTTGGGTCTCTGATTACGAATCTAAAGTCAGATTTGCAAAATTCAAAATGGCAGACTCAATATGGCGATCATGATGTACAAAATTAATGAAAATTCCAATTATTATTGATGATATATGAGTTTGTCGGGTCGCTGATTACGAATTTGAAGTCAGATTTGCAAAATTCAAAATGGCGAATTCAATATGGCGACCATCATGTACGAAATTGATAAAAATTCCGATTATTATTGATGATATATAGGTTTTTCGAATCGCTGATTACGAATCATTTGAGTAAAATAATATTGATAGTATGGATAAGATGGAGTTACAGAATGAAAAAACTAGGAAAATAGAGCTAAAAAGTGCAAAGAAATCAAATTTCGACCGTTTTTGTAGAAATATTTGTTTATAAGAAAAAATCTAACCTGCAAAGAAATACTGAAAAAAATATATGTTTTTGTACAACATTAGAAAAATATTTGGTGAAAATTTCAAATCTCTACATTCAATACTCTCCGAGGAATCGGTTTTTCCCTAAAAGAAGTATTTTTTTCAACTTTGATTTGTTATAAATAATCACAAATAAATAATTGGGTATAAAAACCTATTGGAGTATGTTGAACAACTATTCAGTTATCTGGAAAACTCAAATCCCCGATTAGTTCTTCAAAATTATGTGATTTACAACGCAAAATTGAATCAAGAAAAGGTGGGAAGTATACTTCCCACTAACAGTGAAAGGGTTAAAAATAGTTTAGATTTCTTTCTCGGTACGGGTTTCATATTTGTTTGTTTACGAGTCAGAACTTAGTAGAAGTGTGTTGATTATGTTCATATACAAGAGGAAACAAAAAGAAACAAAACTTCATGTCTAAATAACCTTTGGACGAAATCTAATTTACGTTTAGGGAAACGAAAGTAATTACTAAAGCTACATCCGCGGTTTTCCGCGGCTAATTTTTTCTGATATTTTATCCGGAGAGATTACTCTTTCATTTCATCCAAAAAACGTAACAGGGATAGACCCTGAAGTATAACTAAATCTTTCGAGTTTGACATCGAGAGCGCAAAAAGATATATTACTGAATGCTATTTTCAAAATCGTATATCTACATGAATAACAATTCAATTATAATAGATATAGTCTAAAACATTTCTTCATAGCTTTCTCGAAACAATCCATAACGAAAAATTTCCCGCTGCCACTTCTAAGAAACTTAAAATTCTGATCGAAGATCACATGTTATAAAGCGCTGAGAATTTATGCGTGCAATACGAATAACGTCCAAATTCTTATTAACCAAACCGCTTCATGTTATCGCGAATAGAAGTATAGTCGGAATTTGGACATTATTCGTATTGCACGCATAAATTCTCAGCGCTTTATAACATGTGATCTTCGATCAGAATTTTAAGGTTCTTAGAAGTGGCAGCGCGAAATTTTTCGTTATGGACTGTTTCGAGAAAGATATAAAGAAATATTTTAGACTATACCTATTACAATTGTATGTGGCCCATTATTTCACAGATATTCAACTGTCTAAAGGCTCGTCTACAATAGCTGTAAGAGTAAAGCTGTAAGGCTGTAACGTAAGCTGTCAGCGAATGAAAATATTTCATTTCGTGTCTTGCAACCTTACAGCCTTACTCTTACAGCTAATGTAGACGAGCCTTAAGACAGTTACTCATGTAGAGCAGGAATGATTTTAAGAAAATTCTGACGACACGCGACCGATTACGCAAATCGCCGCGGGGTTAAATATAGGAGCATTGAATTTCCGCTGACAGATATGATGAAACGTTTGCAGGTGCCGGCCTGTCTCGAGATACTCCACAATGAAAAGAGCGGCGAGAGCCACGTGGTAGCCGTCTTCTGCCGGTCCAATAGCGAGGACCGCCAGGTGAGGGCGACGAACGCGTCCTTCCCGCAGGTCACGCGCGTCAGGAAGTGTTGTCCTCGTGAGGCGACGTTCGACGGCTACAAATCTTGCGTGTTCCGGCCGAGCGATGCGCCGAGTCTGCTGACGTTTCTGCCGAACGTGCCTGCCGGCGAGGATCACGTGCTGATAGTTACGCACGGCCCACCCAGGTGCGAAGGCCCGATCGTCGATTACGAGATCGACGAGCACAACGTCTTGCCGTGGAACGGCACTTACTTGGTGAGCGGGGCAGAGGAACGGCGCGCAGTGGGAAAGATAAGACAATTTTTGGACAAAAATCCACCGACAACAGAAAACTCCATCAATTTTAATGAAACTTTCTTTAAAATACTCGCAGAGGATCCTGCCACAACGAGGTTTTGCTGTAAATGAGTTTTAAAACTCGACCTAACCTCAGAAAAATTTACGTGTATTTTTTTGAGATTAGGTCGAGTCAAAAAGTTCTCATTAAAATTGATGGAGTTTTCTATTGTCGGTGGATTTTTGTCCAAAAATTGTCTTATTTTTCCCACTACGCGGCGCCGTGAAAGTCGGCGATGACACGATGACGTCATGAAAATCGGCAAATAATGTGCCTAGCAGTCAGAGCTGCCTCGAGATAGCGCTTGGAGATAAAGGCGATCTCGTCACTTTACATTTGTTGATTTTCCGAGAATCTCCAAGCGCAACTTGGCGCCCAGGCGGAGACTCGCGCGCTGTTGGCCGCCATTGATTTGCATTACGTTCCTTTTACCGGCACTTCCGCTTCATTTTTGTCTCATCCCGTCGTTTTCTCCCGAAGCGTTCTCCGAAGTGGAAATCTTTCAAACAACCTGTGCATTATTCATGATTTCGCGTGACGTCAGAAATTAGCGGACGTTCGTCTCTTTCGGCGCTTCTCACGCGGCATGACTCGAGTAACATGACGTGACGAATGATTTGGCAGGTGACGATCCCAACGCTCGAGCACGACTCCATCATTACAGAGGAGTATCTCATGACGGAGGAGAACGCCTGCCTCGATACGGCGCCGCATTCCGCGTCCAGTCGCAAACTGATAGCGCGCGTCTGCAGGGAGCGGGAGTACTGCGATAGGAACGTCTGCATCAGAAAGTGTTGCGCTGAAGACGAGTTCTTTTATGGCCCGGAGTGCAGGGAAAGCGTCGGGACGGAAGCACCAGCGGAATTCCATCCGGCCTTCGCGAGCGCAGTCAACGCGACGCTATCTTCCGCTTCTGGCGCGATCGAAGGTTGTTTTAATGAAATTTAAGCTTGCTGCCTTTATCACTTCTCCCACCCAGCGAACTCATCTTCTCACTCGGGCCTGTGATTAGAGCATTTGCTGTTGCACAATGACATATTAAGGGCATTCATAATCGGATCTCATATTCAAGATCATCTTAGGTTCATCTGTGGATGCTGTACAAATTATTTCATTGGTTCATTCACGGGATATCTGAAAATGAACTTAAGATTCTTAAGTTAAGACCTTAAGTGAACTTAAAGCCTTAAATATGAGACTTGATTATGAATACCGGCCTAAGAGTGTAATTTAGTATGAGTATTGAGGGTTTTGCAAGAGGGTTTGGCACTAATGTCAGTTTTATCGAAGACATTCCAATCACAGCAATTGTTCTTTCATGCTTTAATATTAATCCATGATGTTTAGTCGTTTACTAACAATAGACACGGTAAAAATCGTGTTAGTACCATCTTAAAAATGGAGTGTCTTCCTGAAGAGCGTCTTCGACACGCGTTGCTTTTGTTTTTTAATCAGAAGGGAACAGCGGCTGAAGGTCATAGAATTCTGATAGAAACTTGTGATGATGATGTTCTATCAATTGACATGTGAATATTGATTTAGACGATTCAAAAGTGGTGATTTCAATGTTAACGGCAAAGATCGTTCGGCACAACGGAGAAAGCTTAAAAATGCAGATTTGCAAGCGTTATTGGACGAAAATCCAGCACAATCCGCACTTCAGAACTTGCCAGAGTATTAAACGTTGATCGTACAACAGTTATTAAATATACAATATGGTTTACATGATGTGGAAAAGATTCACAAAGAAGGAAAATGGATTCACGTCAATTATCGGAAAATGCCATTGCGAACCGGTTGAATATTTGTATTTGTTGATCGCTAGACAAAAAATAAAGTTTTATCGAATGTCGAATTGTTACTGGGGATGAAAAATGGACCTATTTCGATAATCCGAAACGAAAAAGATCATGGGTTGATCCAGGCAAACCAGCAACAACATCCACTTTGAAGCGCAATATTCACGATTCAAAGGTATTCAAATGTATTTGGTGGGATCAAGAAGGTATTGTGTACTATGAATTGTTAAGTTCGAATGAAACTGTCACCGCTGATCGTTATCGACAATTATACAAATTGAAGCGAGCATTGAACCAAAAACGACCATCAATTGCGAGTAAACGACGCAAAGTGATCCTTCTTCGCGACAATGCTCGACCTCATGTTGCGTCATCAGTGCGCTATTAGAGCTGGAATGGGAAGTCTTACCGCACCTAGCGTATTCTCCAGACATTGCTCCATTCGATTATCACTTGTTCCGGTCGATGCAACATGCTCTAGAGGATGCACACTTTCATAACTTGGAACTAGTGCGAAAATTTGTTGAAAACTGGATCAGCTCCAAAGAAGAATCCTTTCATCGTCGTGGAATCCATCTCTCTTGCCAGAAAGATGGAAGAAAGTTGTAGAAAACGAAGGAAAATATTTTGATTAAAGTATTCGTTCATTATCTTGCATGCACTTTCATAATTTCGAACAAACACGAAAATTTGTTGAAAATTAGATCAACTCCAAAGAAGAATTCTTTTGTCCTCGTGGAATCCATCTCTTGCCGGAAGATGGAAGAAAGTTGTAGAAAACGAAGGAAAATATCTTGTTTAAGGTTTTCGTTCATTATCTCATTTAACTAAATCAGTTTCTGAGAAAAAATCTTTAAAACTAAATCACACTCCTAATAATAATAATAATAATAAATCACACTCCTAATAATACATTGTTGCACCGTATATTGTTACGTCCGGCAGCGCAGCGGAACTTCTCGCTCGTCGCTTAACGTGACCGCGGACGAACCAGGCGCCGTTCGGCTGGCCGGGGAAGAGAATTCCTGGTCCTTTCAAGCGAATTTGCGCCGTGAAAGCGTCCGGCAATTCTGTTTTCCTTAGCCAAAACGCCTCTCCGGCTCGTGCATTGTTGTTGCGTTAACCCGAGCAATCTTTCTTCTCCGTGCGCGAGATGCCCGTCTGAGACGGTCGAACTAGCAGGTCGGTAACGCGAGTCAACGACCTGGAGGATCGATTTTACTTCGTTTGACAAACGTCGCCCGTTGCTTCTTCTTTATTTAGATGAAGGAACTTCTTGCTTCTCGATCTCGAGGAATCCCTTTGCTCGAAACACAATAGCGCGACAAGTGGAGATTAAGAGGACATGAGAGAGAAAATAAGCTTGAGCACGCGGAGAAAAACGCTTAATTGGATGAATCAGCCGAAGGATGCGGAGATTCTGATTGAGAATGGCAGAATTCTCCCGAAATGCAGCAGAAATCTGGATCTTTCAGACCGAATAACTTCTTCGACAACTTCAACCGGAATTTCTGGATCGTTCATATCTCACCGAGGAACTGTCTCGTTCAACCAATCATATATTTTTCTCCGTGTCAATGCCGTCGAGTGAAAGTAACGTTACTTGCCCGACTTTCAACTTTGGACGTGGAAAATTACAGGGAAACCTGACGAATAAACGTCTTTAAGCGTCTGGCGTGTATATCGGGATTGAAATTTTCACAGCAAAACGTCATTCACAAAATTTCGCTGGCGTTTCGAGATAACGATTGTTGCAACGCTCGTTCGCTCGCACGAGACGCCGAGTGTCTCGCTGCTTTATTCACGAGCGATATGAAGTACGCGCACGATTGTTTATGTGCGAGAATGTAGATCAGCAAGGCTCCTAGATTTGAGCGCTCGAAGGAGAGGAGAACTGTGAATGATTGAAACAAGGGAAGCATATTAGATGGGCTTCGTTGTGGTTGTGACGAACACGCCACTACAGAGCAGAGCAGAAAGAAACAAGGAGCAAGGGAAGAAGAAAGCAAGGTCTTGCTTGTGACGTAAAAAGATTTAATGCGTACGACCTCTCGCAGAAGTTTCGGTACATAAGGGCGAGTTACAGCGACAGTCGCCCGTTGCTTGAACTTGGCTGATTGCTTGACCTCTCCAACAGTGATAAATTGAATTTCGGTCTCGATTACCAGCACTTGCGATGACATCAACGAGGGTATGCATGACCGTGTGACTAAAAACGCAATTTTGTTCGAGGCTACAAGTAACAAACAAAACACTCGATTGCACATACATTCGTGTGACAATACGCTCAAATTTGAAAATAATGAGGAAACATGTCTGATTAAATGCTAAAATGCACCGTGAGAAACATTTCGAAATGCTCGAGAGTAAAAATACGTTATAAAAAGTGCTATTGTGTATCGATACACCCAAAAGGAAGTAATTTCAGAACAAACGGAATTATCTAAATTTTAGAGGATTTTATTCTTATACATAGCCCCAAGAGGATTCCTCTAAGAAAATATTATAAACACATTATTCTTATAATTAGGTGGATTATATGTCATATGTGTAATGCAAATCTCATTGATTTTAATATAAATTTCCTCTTATACACAGATTATTCTTAGAATACGAGACTATGGGAAAAAATCACTTTGCAACTAGAATACTTTTTTTGGGTGTACATTAACGTGACTGCGTTAATGGTGAACTACTAAACAAATGATTCCATAAGTAACAACCGGAATTTGCTACCTAATAACGGAGATAATGAGAGTGGCCATAATACCACCTTCTCCTCTGTATCTTCTACTAGAAAACAATTTTATCGCCAAACCCATCGGAGGCTCATCTTATTTCTTTTATCTGAAGAAAAGGAAGCGCAAGAGGCCACATTTTAACTTTTTAATTCTCCGTTCGTTATTTTACTCCCGATTTACCATCCGTGCCGTTATCGGTAATGCAGATGGGCGTTCACACAATCGCCTGTCTGCCGTCTGTCTGCCGGTGTCTGGTGTTTTTCATGACACTCGAGATGTTTTCCACTGAAGCCTATTTTGAAAGTCCCTTTCTCGCTCATCTGGTCGCTCACCTTATCGTTTCTTGTTTCGCGTTTATCATTGGGTTGCGAAAAGCAGTGGGCGGCGATATCGACTCGTGCGAGCGACAGCTAATTGCCGACGCCTGACTCACTTGTCTTATCACTCCTTTCTATCTCACGACTCCAAGTGTCGGCAAGTGCATGTATTAACTCGGGAGATTAGTGTAAACACGGCGCTTCCGATGTTTTCGCTCGCGACGGCCTCGCTGCGTGCGAAACCTCGCGATTTCGTCACGGCTCGTCGCAACGCTCGAGAGCTACTCGCGGCCACGAGGAAGAAGTCGTAAAGTTTGCCTGGACGTAACAATATTACACAAGATTTATCAGAAATGGCTGTCGCGGCACGCTTCGGCGATAGTGAGCCTCGCGATGAATTCGACACACAGCGCTTCTTTGACTCCCTTGAAGACAGATAAGTTCCTTGCTCGATTAACACCAATCACGCACGTACATGAACAACGGACGACAATCGCCGTTCTGAGAAGCTCTCTGACGCACATCTCATTCTACTTGCTCAGATTACGGGCTCCTGATTGGGAAGCCATGCCTCCGCATGTACCCGGTGAACCCGACGGAGGAGGCATGGTCGTTGACCTCGCGAGGACACGTGAAGGTCGAAGGCTACTCCGTCCAGGACCTGGACAAGTTTTGCATGGACGCCTATTATAACAAGTCGCATTACAACAACGGCTTCCATCTGTTCATATGTTTCGACGATTCAGCGGCGCAGCAGAATGTGTCGACGAGGTACCGGCGAGATTCATTACACTATTTTCAGCTTCGGCACTCGTCGTTCAACAAGCACTTGAGAGAGCGCTGCGTTCTCTCTCTCTCTCTCTCTCTCTCTCTCTCTCTCTCTCTCTCTCTCTCTCTCTCTCTCTCTCTCTCTCTCTCTCTCTCTCTCTCTCTCTCTCTCTCTCTCTCTCTCTCTCTCTCTCTTTCTCTCTCCCTGGACTAGACGCCAGAGAGATAAGCTCCCGTTTAATAAATCCATTCGTTATATATAATTATATAAATTCGTCCGATAAATCTATACTCGCACAATCACTTTTCGTACTCAAACACACATTCATTTGCCGCAGCGAAATTTCAGCAAATCTCATCGCTATAAATTATATGTTATTTTTAGTTTCGCCACGCGTTACATTCAATTATCATTTCACCACTGCATTCTTTCCCGCTCGACAACAGTCGACAAAGCCAGACGCTTTTTCGACTAATACATTTATATCGTTTTATTTGATAAGTTTATTCGATCAATTTATTCTCGGCAGTGGAATTGCAGCAAATTTCGGCTCGACATAAATTGTAAGATTAAAGTTTTATCGCATTATATTGCAGCCTCGCCACGCGTTATTCAATCACCGCGTTTTTTCTCGCCCGATGGAGTCACATGCTTTCCCGATTAATACATTTATATCATTTTATTTGAGAAATTTACTCACTTTCTAATCAATAAAATCCGTAAAAGAAATTTGAAATCCGGAATAAATCCTATGTATATAGGGTGTTTAAGAAAAGAGTTCACGTTAGAAAAAATAATATAAGTCGGAAAATTAATGTTGTGGACAGAGTTATGGACAATTATTTATTTGAATAAAAAGAAGCAACCCAATCGCTTCTAGCGCTTACAAAGTTTCCTCCTCCTATATAACCCCGACATATTCATTTTTCAACTCATGTTTATCAGGACCTTTTTCCCTCATTTTGCACTCAGGAACTTTTTTCTGCAACTTTTCGATCCATGTTCATTGGGACTTTTTGCCTCCGTTTTGCGAGTACTACCTGCCCTTAAAGTCCTGAACCCTCTTTTTTGAACACCCTGTACACCGGAGAAACCCGAGTAGCCCGAGTATAGCGCTGGAATGTTGCATAACTACACGGACGGCATCTCAATTCCGGTCCGCCGCGAATTCTATCAAATTTGGCGAAACACAAACGGCTTTATTTGTGTTTAAACTCGGCCAAGTCAAACAAACGGCACAGCCGGAGCATCGCGCGATGGATAGATAGATAGATCAGCAGAGGCAGAGCGCTTGGCGCTCAATAGACTCGTAAACGTCTGAGTTTCGCAGGCACGTGAAAGGGGAACACTTGTGTATCATTGGCCGTGAATGAACGGGAGGAACGCAGCGCTGCGCGTATGAAAAACGCATCAATGTGCATGAACGCATACCAACTGCCGAGCATCGGGAGCGCACAGGCAGCAGATACTCGACTGTAGCAATTTCTGTCGCAGATACAAAATCAACACCGCCCTGGAGTTCACCAGCTGCGCCTTCCTGCTGATAACCCTTCTGGTGTACTCGTGCCTGCCGAGCCTGCAGAACCTCCACGGCAAGACTCTTATGTGTCACGCGAGCAGCCTCTTCCTGGCGTTCATCTGCTTGGCCATCATCCCGTGGATCACGTCGCTCACGTCTTCCAACGGGAAACAGACAAAGGTCATAATACCCTGCAAGGCTCTAGGTGGGTGAGCGACTACTCTACTCTAACGGCAAATACATGTGCGCCTTGGGAAAACGAGAACTATGCTTCCAGCTTATATCATGCTCTTCGCCTTTTTGTCGGCGTTCTCTTGGCTCAACGTCATGTGCTTCGACATATGGTGGACCTTCGGGTGAGTGCGAGCCAGTAGTCGGTCGCGCGACGACGCGATCGAAGCAAGTGAGGTAATCAGCGAGGCGCTGTAAACGTCCGACGTGTTCGAGCAAATTGACTGAGCGCGACGCGATCATACGTCGACAATAACAAAATCAACAACAGAGTTCTCTTAAGAACTTCCGAGCCCGCTTCGCTCCGACGACGCGCGGACCCATGAATAGTCAGTCTTCTTCTCCCGTGATGATTTCGTAATAACATCCCACGATCGAAAGACTATCGTCGCGTCGTTTACCCGACGGGGGAGGAAGAAGAGGGGGGCAGGGAGAGGCCGAGAGAGTCTCTCGATTACCTCACTTGACCCTCCATAGGATGTCCCGACTTTATTGTCCATCCCATTAACCCTCCCGTCGCTTCGGTCGCTCATAGGCGCTCCGTGAATTTATCGTACGCTCTTCACGTGCTGCGGCAGTAAAAGGAAATATACAACGGCAAACATTAAACACTGAAATGACTCAACACGTTTTATATAGCGCCAGCGCGGCGCGCGATAGAGCGAACGATAGAGAGCGGAAGAGAGAGAGAGAGAGAGAGAGAGAGAGAGAGAGAGAGAGGGAAGGAGGACCTTCGAACTCGAAGCGAGAGATATGGATTCCCTCGTTGGCGTGGATGATCTCTCGAAGAATTCCACCCGCGATTAACTCCACACTCCGCGGTCGAAGGGCCGATCGGGCGGCTGACAACGCCGCCGAATACGGAGATTACCCGGCGCGGCCGCACCGCGGCGCGAGGATGCATCGCGGCGCGCGAGATGCAGGCGGCGAGCAGACGCGCCTCGTCGCGCGTTCCTCGCCGGCCATGGGCGTTTGTGTATTCAAGATGCTATTCTAGCTGGGAGCTCCGTAAATACGCGCAGAAAATAGATGTCCATGTCAGCGACGATGGCTATGTACCGCCATCGGCCCCGCCGCCGCCGATCTCTCAATCGGGAATTCCGCGAGTCGCCTGCTCTCGGCGGCGCCTCGTCGTCGGCGACGTCGACGACGTCATCGCTGAAAGACGAATTGCACGGTGCTTTGGTGCGTCACTCGCGGAACCCTACGTCCTGCTACCTAATTGATAGCTTCCCCGAACCAAGGAGACGATCCTATCAAACGGTACAGCACCTCCCCGCCGCCGCGAGTCAACCCTCGCGACCTTGTAGCGAGTCATTAGTTAATTTTCTTCACCCTGAGCGGAAGCGCTGATGACAGCAAAGGCGCCAATTTCCAAGAAAACGTCTACTATGTAGGCTTCCTCGTTACGTCCTCGTCCTCTCGTCCTGACGGCCACGTGTCACACGTGTGCCGCTCCCTCCCCGGCTTTTGTACCTTTTGTCCTGATGAATAAGGTAACGATGATGGAGGCTTGTTTCCCTTTCGCAGAGGCTTACGTGGGGACACGGTGACAAGAGGACGCAAACACAGACGGAGGTTCCTGCTGTACTGCCTGTACGCCTTCGGTTTCTCCTTGCTGGTGTCGATCTTGGTCATCGCCTCCGACTGCATGGACATCTTGCCGGACTACGTGCGACCCAACGTCGGCTACACGAGCTGTTGGTTCACACGTGAGTCAGCCCAGCCCGATAAGCGCTATTTGATAAATGAAGTAACGTAAATTTGTCAACGTCTCTCCCTCTCTCGGGAGGAGCTGCGCGGGACACACCTTGAGACGCGATATTCTCGGCTCGGCGCGACGCGGCGAGACGTCGGGCGGGTGATGTTTCGTTTGCTCGAGAGCGCCGTAACTGAAACGTAATTTCCTTTTCTTCGCCGCACGGGGTCGAGCTGCGTTTGGAAAATTTTGCTGACCAGGTTTATTTAGCATCGACGCGTCGGTCGAGGCGAAGACGCAAGGTCTCCTTTGATCACGGCTGCCGTCATGTCGCAATTATCCGATAATTGAAAAATTCTTCGAGTAGTTCCTCCGATCATCGATCGGGCTCGGGGTGAATTCAAGCGTCATTACGCCGCGACATATAAAGCGCGCACCGAGATTAACTGCCGCGCAATAAGTATCATTTCTATCGCCGAGGTAATGCGCTCTCGATAATGATCGAGTGGGGGAAAAATTCGCAACGAACTTTCCTCCGAGACTCTCGAGACGAAGCTAACGCCATCTAGATTCGATCGCTTGTCAATAACGACGTTGCAGTAATTATCCGAGTCGAGCTCGGCACGACGCGTTTTGTCTCGTCTCAACGATCGGCGGAGATCGCGAACAGTAAATAAGGCGAATGTCCCAATTAGTGAGCGAGTGATGACTCCTCGTGAAAATAAATTAATAAATTTGTAACGTACAAGCCGAGAAAGCGCTGGGTGCGCGCGGACTCGATTTTTTTTGGAAAGCTTCGACACTCGAGCTTTTAATTGCGTTGTATTCTTTTTTCCAATTTATGGAAATATCTCGATTCGTTTGTGATGTCTTTCCGAGAATAACTGAAGCGCCACTTCATGATGTGACTGTTTTGTTTGCTTCTCTCATTGGCAGTTTATTAGTTTCGAGGAAGGTAAACAATACGCGCCTGCGTAGGTGTGACAAACAGACGTTATATTAATAATTTCTATGACGTCGGCGAGTAACTTTCAATCTGCAATCAGCAGATATGCTGTAATTACGATGCTCTGACATCTATCGTGGCTTTAATTTGATCTGAAACTTGATGTTGTGTTTTAGATGAAAATGTATAGAATAGAAGGGTAAACATATAATTAAGATAATTATGCCGATTTATTAACTCCTTGACTGTAGGAGACGCAAAGGTGTTTGGGGTTGCTTTATCCAACGTTGAACTTTACAACTTAGAATTCGAAATGCCGAATGTTAAATGGTCGATCTAAAACCTAAAATTGAGAAAAATGCCAAAGTTTTACAAAAACTTGGAAATATTGTACTTTGGAATTTTTGACGTTGTTATTTTCGACGGTGAATTTAAAAATACAAATTCCAAATGACGAATCAGTCCTCAAACTAATATAGCTGGCAGGAGCGAAAAACGTTTTATCTACATATTGCATAACGTATAATTATAAATTATATTTATTCGCGTTATTTCAGTATTTCGTTACTTTATAAATTTTAGATAAAGATTTTATGTATTTCCGCTATTTATTTTTCCTCATAACAGTTAGCCGGTTTTATTTGAATAAAATAAAATTATGATTTCACGCAGTGTTGTATTAAACGGTGGATCCACCATCTCGAATTTGACAAATTTTTATGTCACGCTCGTCAGTCCACATTGCTCAACTTTTGAAAATCCATTTTTCGCGAGTTTAAGCTCTCGCGAAATTCAGTTTGCCAGTCAAGGGGCGAAAAGAAAAATGGGCATAATTGTCACAAACTGGGACACCGTCACTAATTGAGACATTTATCTTAATCACTCGATCGGATGAGGGGCGAGGGGAGGGGTTCTCCGACGATGAGACGATTAAACGACGCAATCTCGATGACAAACTATTCTCCCTGCGTGAAAATGCTTCTTCCTGCGTTGTTCAATTGCACCGACACCGCAGAGAAGCCGGGCTCATACGGTGAGATGATTTTCTTCATCGGCCCGATGACGGTCCAGTTGATATCCAACGTGGTGTTCTTCGTTCTCACGTCGCTGCATTGCAACAAAGTGAAGGCGGAAATAAGAAGAGTCACTTCGGACCCTGCGGATCCCAGAAGCAAGCGGTTTCATTCCGACCGCAACAGGTACGCCTTTTTTCATTACTTATTTTCCTCGAGCCAGTAAAAACGCATCAACTCGCCTTTCGCTTTCCATGATGCGATTGTGACCAAGAAGATCCCTGCTGACCGGAAGTCTGTTCTGAAATCGGTTTCGGAGACTTTGGTTTTAGTTATAAGGTTGTTGGGCCTTAAACTATCTTCGACACTTCTGATCAGCTGATCACGCTTGGACGTTCACGGTCATGTTTCTGTTTACAAATTCGGTTTTAACTATTAATTTTGTAATATTAGATAGAGAAATGGATAGGTTTTTATTACTTATTATCTTGATAATTGACTAGCTGATCAATCACGAGACGTGTCGAAGTTAATTTAAAACATAGACATAGTATACCTAGACTGCGCATTCTCCCAAATTTTAAGGATGGGGGTAGACCTCATGTAGAAAAGGATGCACTCTCGATGGAAGGGGAATAGGGGAGGCAGTTGCTAACCTGTACGACAGCATAGCGGCTATATATCTCGGGGTGAATTGAAGGCACGGTGATCTAGGTTAATCACTCTATCGGAAAAAAATGAAAAACAGCTGCTGCGAGAGAGAACGCACAGATACAACAGAGTGTATCCTTTTCTACGTGAGATATACTCCCATTCCTCGAACATGCAATCTAGGTACACTATGTCTATGTTTTAAGGCCTATCAACCTCGTAACTAAACCCAAAGTTTCCGAAAGAGATTTCGGAACAGGCCTCGGGTGCATCGCCGATCGTCGACGAATGCGTTCGGCGCTCTTCAAGCTGCGCCAATGACTGGCTCAAGAGCTCCCCTCCCCCTCCGGATATCCGTTTGATCACCGCCAGAAGAGCAGAATCACGCTTCCTCGAAATCGTTTGCGCAATTTACGCGAACACTGAAAAACTCACTCGCTATTCACGAGCGACGCTGAACGAGTACGAGAACGGCGATAAAAGTCGCGTTGTGCGCGCTCGCCGATGCGTGCCGTTTACACGATCGCGGAATTTCACGATGATCATTTAGCCGTCTCGTGCGAACGAGTATTTCTTTCGTGTCACGCTTCTCTATTTGCAAATACAGGAAGAGGCGCGCCGCACCTCGCGCTCTCATCAGCCTCTTCCCGCTCCCCTCATTCGTCCGCTGTGTTTGCTCCCGCAGATTCGTCATGAACATCAAGCTCTTCGTCGTTATGGGGATGTCCTGGGTGTGCGAGGTGGTGTCGTTCTTCCTGAAGAGATACCATGTCGACTGGCAGGACGCCATCTTCTACGTCACCGACGTCTTCAACTGTCTGCAGGGCCTGCTAATCTTCATCCTCTTCGTTCTGAAGAGCCGCGTCTACCTGGCGTTGCGCAAGCGACTCGGCCTGGACGTCGGGAGGAAACGAGCTTGTAACACCACCACTCTGCAGGATCCTTACCGCGTGAGGAAGAGCGTGAGCAACAGCACGCTCATGTCCACCTTCGTGGTCAGCTCGGCGCCGTAAAGCGACAGGAGACTACTTAGCTTAAGTTACTCTTCGCGACTCTTATGACTCTTCTCGCCGGCGAGTCGTCACGAGCCTGCTTGCGGACGAAAGCGTCAGACAACCAGATTCAGATTGTTCTTCCGGTGGTGCACCGATAAACGACCGTGATTGGTCAGCTTGTTGCTCTTACGTCTTCAAGCGAGCTCACTGCCCCGGCGAGGTGCGACCTCCTCGTCGTAACTTTCTTATGCGCGCTCGCTCGACGCGGTTAGCAAGTTTCGTCTCATCTCGACGTAAAAATGTCTCGACGGAGCGTGTACTGTTCATCTTGCCGAGAATCTGTAGAAATTCGCGGGCGTTCGACGACAAAGTTGCGGAACTCCGAGTCGTTTGGCGTTCTCACGCTTGCTCGTTTCGTCGACGACACACTGACGACTTTTACACGGAGAAAAGCGTTTAGTTGTAATTTTAGTTGTAATTTTGTTGAGTAATTTTCTGCTGAAGTATGAACGATTCAGAAACTCTCGACGGTTGAGCTCGACGGTTGAGCAGAAATCCGCACTATTCAGATTGAATTCTGGTATGTTCCTCCGAAAGATTATTTTGTTCGACCGGACGTATTTCTCCGAATGAGAAATTGCCGCAACGCCAGTGTTTTTCGAGCTAATCGGTCGAGCTAGAGGGTGTCGGGTGAGTGCGAGAGTTTCGATGGGTTTCGCGATAGAAAAATGGGCCGGGTGATTCTATTAAAAACGATTTATTCCCACTTGACCAAGTGGTCGCCATTGTTTCCCAGTTTCTCGCGTTCAGCGCGCGCGGCGGATGTATCGCGCATTTACATATTTCCAAGTGCCGCCGTAAAGCTGGCTCAGTTGCGACATCTTTGAGAAACCCATGAAAACTTTCTACATTCAGCCAATGCAAAGCTCGGGAGGATTTTTCCTTAAGCGACGGTGAACCCGTAATTCTCCCCTCAGATTCTGCCTGTCACAGGACGCTCGGTCGAGGTATTTCGACGTGGACGGCTTGCCCCGCCCGCGCCATCGACATTTTGCAATCTGTTGTCACTAATGAGAGCAATGAGGATGCAATTGGCGTCGCGCATTGCGACAGGCCGATGATGGGCGACGGGTGTCGCAAACAAAACAAAACCCGCCGCTTTTCTGCCGCGCGGCGCCGCGATTTTATTATCCTCTCTCACTTGCTGGCGCAAGTGTTAATAACTGATGGCACCATGAGAGAGTAATTGCGTTCGATTCGACGCTCGGCCGACGTATGAATGGCGGTATAAATAGGGGCTCGGCAGGGATACCGCGTCGAGAGGCGTCATTGTACAAAGTTGCCTTTTGTATTAGCGCGTATTGTGCGGCGATGCGCTTCGCTCGCGACGCGGACTGCTATCTTGACGAACGAGAGAGCCGAAGGCGTCCGTCGGAAGGAGTGAAGCTCACGGTTCTATGAAAGGCGCGGATGTTGATCTTCCTTTTCTCTCTCGTTCTTTCTTTCTTCTTGAACATTAATTCCAGCCGCGGAGATGCGCTGCGACGTTACCAAGAATACCAAAGAAGGCTTGTAACTTTTCAATGTTTCCTTCACGCGTCCCTCCCCCCCTCCTCTCCTGCCCCCACTCCTGTGCCGCGTAGTATTGTAACGCGCGTGTCGCGGATAATGTGCCTCATTGAAGAAACTCACGGGCGACATTTCTTCACGCGTCGCCGACACGTTCGGTGGCGTGACGTCGAAATAGCCGTAACACAGAGACACGCAAGTGTGTGGAAGCCTCATTGTCGAACAATATTCCCAATGTATCCCTGCGCTTGTCTGTGTTAAGAAAAAAAGATACCCCGACGTTAAGAAAAAAAGATACGCCCATTAATGTCAAAGGAGACGCTGCGACTCCGCGACTCCGCGTAGGGCGGAATGTATTTTTATATGGCGCGCTTTTTCTAACGGTTATTTTCAGAATAAACCGTTCTTCGAACCGTTTTTCGCACGTCCGTGCGCAAACGAGAGGAGAGCAGCACATAATCGGCAGGAAATACATTAAGTAAATGGATAATCATGACAGTCGCTTCATTTGCAAGTGTAATATTCCCCCGGCTTTTGCTCCCTTCGCTCGCTTCGCATAATGGCGATCGGTTGCTCCGCTAGGATGAGAAAATCAGCAGGAGGAATTCAATAAACTCTGGAGAGCTGGCGCGAGCTAGCGAAAAATTGCCTTTATTTTCAGTGTATATTCCATGGAATCCAAATGGAATCTAACAGTAGAATTCTGGCTTCGCGCGACGACGCATCGGCTCGCGCTAGAGGTCGCTCGCGTCGGAACCGCGCCGGAAGTTCACGCCACTTTTTGAAGAACTATTCCCGCTCGGCTTGGCGAGAGAGCGAAAACCGCGACATCACGCGCGGCATGATTTCATGGCCGGCGGTAGGGCGTTGCGCCTCAAACGCGTCGGTTATTCATCGTCCATGCAAACGGCTCGCTTCAAACCGCAGAAAGTCCGTCGGACGCGACCACAGGCCTATTCCGAAATCGCTTTCGGAAACTTTGGTTTCAGTTACGAGATTGGTGGGCCTTAAACTAACCTAGATACGTTCCGTCATTAATCAGCTAATTGATTGTCGAGATAACAAGTAACTAATCTATCCATTTCTCTACCTAATATTACAAAGTTAATAGCTAAAGCCAAGTTTGTAAACAGAATTAGTACACGGTCATGAACGTCCAAGCGTGATCAGCTGTTCAATTACGGAACGTATCTAGGTTAGCTCAAGGCCTGCCAACCTTACAACTAAAACCAAAGTTTCCGAAACAGACCTCACTTGCGCGAATGCTGTGCGATCGCGCTTACGTACCATGTTCTTGCCGATATCGGCTGGCAAACCTTGGCGAACCGAGCGCGGTTCTCTTCCGCCGTATTCGGATAAAAGAAGAAAGAAAACGAACAAACAGGATAAATTGCCCCAACGAAAGCTAACGTGGAGTTTGATCGGTAAGACCGCTAACGTTACGTGTTAAACGCTTGAATATCCCCCCCTCTGCCCTCCCATAACAAAGTTATGTCGTCTTCGCCTTTCTTGGCCTCGCTCGGAGGCGCGACGAGGTTAGTTTTATACGCTAACGAAAGAGGAAAGTTAAGACAAAACGTACGCTTGCGTGGTCTCGCTAATGGATCGCGTGCGTGAGAAGAGCGGCCCGAAGAGAGAGAGAGAGAGAGAGAGAGAGAGAGAGAGAGAGAGAGAGAGAGAGATGCGGTCGTGGATGAATCCACCGAAGAAGTCGTCGCCATCAGATCAGGGACGAGGGAGTCTCGCGCTCTCCGCTCGGGCCTCTCTTTCTCTCGCATGGTGGAGGCGCCTGCCGCGGGAACGCGCGAATACTCCATTTTCGAGCATGGGCACCTGCGTATCGACCGAGCGGCTGTCAATAATCGCGCGACGTCGTTTTCCACACAGCCATCGCTAATATACAGGGACTGTCGATAGTTGCTGCATCGGTCATTTAACACCTCGGCGACTGGCGCGGCTCGCGAACGTTCAGTCACGCCGACGCCGTCGGCTACAACAAAGGCACTTTCAGCCTTCCGCTTTCCTTTTCCCGACACTCACGCTTCTCGACACTCATGGGGACCGTCCGCTTCGCGGTTGTACGCAGACAACGTGCGACTGTCAAGGTTTCCTTTCGTTCGCCGTCTCCTCGAGGTCCGGGTCCTCGTTGATGATGGAGATGTCGCGGATCGACGGCCTGCGCGTCTTCCAGGCCTCCGGCGGCGGCACCGGCGTGTTGGTCTTCGTCAGGAGCTTCGGCCCTGACAGCGAGATGATGATGGCGCCGGCAGGAGCGGTCAGGAGTATCGAGAGTACACACAATGTCAACACCGTCTCGGCGTACTCGACCTGTTTTCCATCGTCCTTGTCCACCTCATCGAGGGTACTGGGCCCCAAAGCCGCCTGCACGGTCGCCTTGGCCATCCACGACAGCGCGATGAACACCTTCTCCTTGAGGTTGAGGTTCGAGCCGATCCCGACCAGCACCGTGATGGCAATCCGGATGACGATGCCGGCGATTAAGCAGCCCAGGCCGAGGTACACAGTCTTGCCATCGAGCTCATTGATCTTGATCTGCGTGCCGGTGATGCCGAAGAGGATCGGCTCGAATATCATCCAGAAAATCTCGAAGGATGTGGCCACCGGATTCTGCAACGGGAAGACAAGTCATCATGATTGGAGGTTCTCAAGCCGCAATCGTCGGAATCTTGTTAGCCTACAGATCAACGCTGCGGATTCGCTCTCGTCGAACGTGAAGCTCTCCGAGCGCGACACTGTGCTGGGCCTGGGTCGTCTTATCTCGACGCTACAAGTGGTCGTTTTATCTCCATTTTGAGGCAAACAAGGCGGATTTGTCTCAGAGTTATTCAATATTTCATTACATCGAATATTCCAGAATTATTCATTATTAAATTATTTCAATATCCTCAGAGAACGGTTTAATATCGAGTCATCTCGCTATTTTCGGGCTCTCTTCTGCGATATTCGGTCATTTCAATATTTCGCCTACGTTTATTCTCGTTTTCGGAAAACGACGTATTAATTATGACGCGTAACTTGAGCGAATAACGAGCGCAATAAGCAAATGTGAAATAATTAAATGATATAATTGGTAAGCGAGTAACACACACGTAAAACGAACTTTTTCTTCCCGTTATTAATTTTTCAATCGACATTGAAAATTTCGATAGCGTTTAGCAGCTATGAATTATTCACAAGAAGCGAGGAGAGAGTACCTGTAAGGAGGAAGCGTTATTACTTTTTCCTCTTCGCCCCTCAGCAGATTCTATCTCAGAGAAATAAAGAAAGTTTGCGCTCTTAATCCCCTTATTTCCCCGATTATTAATTATTTAATTTCGATTAGCGCGCACGCTTTATCTCCAGCTGATTAAGTCCCGCGCATTAATGTATTGCTTGTTGAAATTAAGAGTAAATATTAAATGCAAGTAAAATATTGAGATAATGGAATATTAAACAATTTCGCGTACATATTTGCATAAAATACTTGAAGCGTAAGACCTGCAGCCATTCAACTTTCTTTCTCTCTCTCTCTCTCTCCCCCCCCCTCCCTCCCTGTTTCTCACTCGCCCTGTCTCTCTCCCTCTCTTTTTCTCTCTCGAGGCTCTCAGCTGGCCCTGCTTTAAGCCTCGACGTGGGAGAAACAGCAGTAAATAAACATTTGTAGCATCAAGGGGTGGGTTAAGAGCCCGCGCATTGTTGTACCTCGACATTCCTCATCCCGTCCTTCAAGGTCGACGGGATTTGCAGAATCGGTGTAGAGGCAAAATTTCGAGCCGGGAGAGATCTCGAGAATGGCGCCGCGCCGGGATAACGCGATTCCGCGTCTCGTTTGTACTTCTCCTCTTTTATTCGTCTCTTTCGTTTTTTTATCTCCGAAGCTCGTTATCTCTTTCACTTCTTACTTTCGCGAGACCTGTTTTTTTCCGCCGTCGGGCACGGGTGGCGCGTGCGCGGGTAGAAGGGTGTTAATTTCGCGAGGATTTTATTCGACGTGTAACGCGCTGAGAATATTAAAAAGCTGCCGGGTCCGCCGTGTAATGATGGGGTCGTAAAATGTTCCTCTGAAGGAAGATCGATTCCGAATTCGGCGCGATGATACCGCGCGGCATTGTCCATGCGTTCGATATCGGGATATGGAAATCTTCCAACGTCGCATGGAAATGCACGGAGCGTCCCGAGTTCATGCTGTGCAAGCTCGTATTTATCGCCATTGTTTACACGCGCTCGCGATGCGTAGGAAATCTCCGTCGCTATTGATTCATTTAATTTAATTCCGCGCGATATATTTCCGAATATAATGCTGACGCGGGCGTGGCCGAGTCTCACGCAAGGAAGCCACGATACATGTTAATGCATTCGCTCCTCTCTCTCTCTCTCTCTCTCTCTCTCTCTCTCTCTCTCTCTTTTTCTCTCTCGTGTGGTTCGTCCTTTCGTCCATTTTTAATGCTGCAAGTTTGCGTCAACACTGCACACAGGATGCTTCGCAATTATAAATAAAGACTCGACGGACTAGTGACATTTGCGAAAACAAACGGCAGATATTCTATCTGCGTACTTCTTTTTTTATTATGTAAAATCACTCGGCTGATACGTGACTTTATTTTTACGCTGCCGGAATTTTAGCCACCTGAGAACAAACAGGAGTCTGAAATTGCGAGAGATCTGAAAACAGTTCCGATACCGATCTCAGTCCTCTGGGACACAGAGTGATCGATCAAAAAGCTTGCGGCGTAATTATGATCGTTAACCTTTTTGTTATTACGTGCCACTATAGTTAGGCTTCCCGTTAAATGATCATTTAAGACGCCGCTGTAATGGCTTCCCTCGATGCAACCGTTTAGGACAACGCGTCACTGTAGTGCCTTTTTTTCTTTATTATGCATTCCGTGCCAGAGGAGGGTTTCCTGTTGCTGCGGAACTTTTTTCGCTCGTTTTAGCATTCGAGCAATATGCATTGGATGCTGGGAATGCTCTCATCTTTTGGAATAAGCTCATGAATATTGTACTTTTTTTCATTTTTTCTTTCTTTTAGACATATTGCTACCAAGTGTAAATTTTGCCTTAGCCTTTTGTAATGCCATGTTACTTTGAAGTGAACACATATCTGACATACCGATGTTCTTAAAATTATTCCTAAATCATATATGCATACATCCAGAAAAACCGTTACAAACCTTTTTTAGAATAAAATCTTTGAAAATTGTAGATTGACTGTTAATTTATATCTGAATATCAATATTTGTGCTGGCTCCACATTCTCTAATTCTTTTATACTCATGAGAAAAAATGGAGCTATAGAGGGTAAACGAAAATCCGCGAACGAATCGCTTTCAAGGTGATCATCTACGACGATTCCGCAAGTCACTTCGATTATTCGGCCGCTTCGATCCTTGACGAAATCCTTCGGTCTCGTTATTGTCGCGGCGAAACGGACGTAGAAGCGAAACCGGACAGTTTCCGTCCACCAAGAGATAGGCGAAGCTGCACAGCACGAGGGGCACTTGTCGAGTTATATCTATCGCGTCGTTTGGCAGTAGTCATCCTTCGCAATAAAAGGAACGGCGCGCGCGTGCCAAGGAGATTGCTTTTTGTCTCGTGCCTTTACCCGTCAACCCTCCCGCCGGACGTACGAGTGTTACGGACCTTTTCAAAGTCGCGGAGACGCGCGCTTGATATCGACAAACGGAACGTCGCTGCTGCCGCGTGGCGGCCGCCGCGCGAACGAGTGGGGGGAGGGGTGAATGACCGCGAGGCCCGGCAGTCAGCTGACGCACGGCCGCGCCGCTGGGACCAGGCCCAGCGCGTGACGTAACAGTGACGCGTCCCCCCTTCTCCGATTCGCGTCCGCAGTAGTGTAGCGACAGGTGCCATTAAGGCGGTTTTAACAGCGCCGCGCGCGCGGCTCGTCGTTGACGCGATCGTCGATGTCTTCGCTTCTACGATTCATAGAGAGATGAAACAAGATCTGTCGGAAAGCTGAGACCTGCGCGCGTCCGAAGGCCGCTTCCTCTTGATAACGAGTATTAATTAGCAACGTTGTGTCATCGTTACGGGAGATATCGATTGTCTCAAAGATGAGGCGAGAGATGATGTAGGCGATGGAGACTGAGAAACTTTAGCTTCTCCCGTCTCGTGCTTTATGAAAACAATTTGCGTAGCTGAGGTGGAAGTAATGATAACGGAGGGTTCTTGTTGATCTCCCGGTACCTCTGGAAAGTGATTTGTTTTACGGAATTGTGTATACGAAGGAGACAATGTTTGAAAGTCTCGGCGCGTTCACGAAAGAGCCGTTCACGTATCGAGAATCTTCTCGCTTGTCCTCTCGCGTTTTATCCGACAGCCAGGTCTTTCTTTGTAACTTCAGGATACCCTGTAGAAGCGCAGATTAAATTGCGCGCGATGATGTTATTTGAAAAGACAAGTGGAGCTCTGGTGTTGACTTTGGTACCTCCGGAAGTTAACCTAACTTGCGTACCGCAAACTTGTACGATAGGGAAACAGCCCTTAAAAGTCGCGGCGAGATTCGTGCGTCTTTGTTCGCCAAGACTCCCCCCTCGTTTGTTCTCACGCGTTTTTTTTAACTCGAGCCTCTCTTTGTGATTTGGGGCCACCCTGGGCAGATTAAATTATACATGATGTTATCATCATTCAAGAAGGGTAAAAAGAGCGCCGATGCGCCGTGTTTGCGATTGTCCCATAATAATTAAACCGGGATATATATCATACCTCGGGAGGAGCAGAAAAACCAGAGAGAGAAAGAGAGAGAGAGAGAGAGAGAGAGAGAGAGAGAGAGAGAGAGAGAGAGAGAGAGAGAGGTGGGAAGAAAGTACGACGTACGACATCGATGTCGGTCATACGGCGGTAATATTGACAGATGCCGGGCTACAGTCACGTCACGAAACGCGCGAAAGAACGTGTCACCACCGGCGCGGCGCGACGCGGTTATGCGAGAGACGACACGGAAATAGGAACGAGCCAGTTGACTCCCAATCCACACCCCGGATGGCAGCGATACGTCGGCCTGAATATTTCACGAGATTCAAGTTATTGGAATAGGAGAGCGAAGCGACGCAACGCGACGCGACGCGACGCGACACGTCATCTCGCCGATATCTCCGGTCCCCCTCCGATGGATGAAATATTTAATAACTTGCATTTAGAGAGAAATTAGGATATGGATAATTAAGAGGTCCCGAGATAGCGCCTCGTCCTGCCGCCGTCTGTTATACCGCTCTTGAACTTCGTCATATTCTCATCCCTCTCTGCCTCGGCACGCGCCGCCCGTCGAGCTTCGCGAAAACGGCACGTCGACTTGAAATCAGCAGCGACGAGAACATCCGACGGCGTGTCGCAGCGTGCTTGTTTCCGGGGGATTATTTAATTTGATTTCATTCAGAGCGGCGCATTCTCTGTCGGGGTTTTATTTGACGTGATTTATACGGGCTGCGGGGTCGGGCGAACGCGAGTTTGCGGTCAGTGATTTACTCTCGCGCGGGTTTGCACGGAATCGTGACACCGTTATACTCACATCGTCCACTTCCCAGCCTTCCTGCTGCCAAAAGTAGCAGCTGACGAAAGCTGCGGCCACGACCGCCAGCGGCCCAGCGCCGCCGAGCTCGATCGCCTCGCTGCCGAAGACTGCCAGCAGCCCACCCCCGAGTAACATCAGCACTCTCAGTGGCACCATGAAGGGCTGCAACATTAGCACGTAAACGAAGCGTTAGGCTACGACGTAAAGCGCCGCGTCACGATTACAAAGTGATTTATCGATCTCATTATTAAGTTTCCTCACACGGCCCGCGTTGTTACACAGGCACGGCGAAAGGCAAACTTGCGCAAAAACAGCGGGGAGAACTTCATCTTACGGTTCTGCGATGCTACGTCGTGAAAAAAGATCAGTCGGCGCAACTTGAATCGAGTTGAACGAACTCAATTTCAAGGTTGGTTTGTGTGTCTGTGTCTGTGTCTGTGTCTCTGAGTGCGTGTGTGTGTGTGTGCGTGTGCGTGTGCGTGTGCGTGTGCGTGTGCGTGTGCGTGTGCGTGTGCGTGTGCGTGTGCGTGTGCGTGTGCGTGTGCGTGTGCGTGTGCGTGTGCGTGTGCGTGTGCGTGTGCGTGTGCGTGTGCGTGTGCGTGTGCGTGCGTGCGTGCGTGTGTGTGTGTGTGTGTGTGTGTGTGTGTGTGTGTGTGTGTGTGTGTGTGTGTGTGTGTGTGTGTGTGTGTTGCGAACTGAGCAGCTGCATCTTTGCCGGAAAATTTTCGTGTTCTCTCGGTTTATTGGTCGAAAGCAGCTTCAAATTTCGTTCAGTACATCTGTCGTCATTCACCTCATCTTCCAACGCGAAATGGAGGTACTCGTGTTATGTATTAGGTTGTTCAAAAAATCATCAAGCGGTTTTTCCGATGATTTTCAAGACCGTTTATCTTATACAAAGAATGAATATTAATCAATGATATATTGCTCTTTTTGTTCAATGACTTCCTGCCATCTTTCGGTAAGCTTCATGATCTCATAAACTCGAAAAACTTCCTATCTGTATTTGTAAAAAACCGAACCAAGTGCCTTTCGATAGCGTCATCTTTTCCACTCAAGAAGTTTTGCAAGGACCGAAACAAATAGTAGTGGTGCGAGGTCTGACGAATACAATAGATGAAGCAACACATCCCAGTCGAGCTCCAACGATTTTTCGCGAGTCATCAAACTTGTGTGTGGTCGAGCGTTGTCACGATGGAGGACCACTCCTTTGTGATTTATCAATTCTGACCGCTTTTCTGCTATTGCTTCGTTCAATTTGTCGAGCTGTTGCCAGTACACATCCGAATTGATCGTAACATTCCTTGGTAAGAGCTCGAAAAACACCACACCCTTTCAATCTCACTAGATTGAGACCATCACCTTTCTCTGGTGGATGTCTGCTTTTGATGTGCTTTGGACCGGCTCATCGCGCTTGCTCCACGATCATTTTCGCTTCACATTGTTGTAGACAATCCATTTTTCATAGCCAGTAATCATGCGTTTCAGAAATATGTCGAATTGTTTACGTTTCAGAAGTTGATCGCATCAGATGTCTATGCGTCTTATGAGGTGAACTTCTTTCAGTTCATGCGAGATCTAAACATCGAGCTTACTAATGGAACCAAGTTGTTTCAAATGAAGGTAAAAGCTTTCAATCGGTATTTTTAGTGCCTCAGCGAGCTCATGAATGGTAGGACGTCGATTAGCTTCATTTAACGCCTTTATTTTATCATCATCAACCTCCGATGGTCGACCTGAGCGAGATGCACCTTTCATGCTGTAGTCACCAGAACGGAAATGAACAAACCAATATTGACATTGGCGTCTTTCTAGGACTCCGTCACCATAAACTTTAGGTAACTTTTCACAAGCCTGCACAGCGTTCTTTCCTTTTCGGAAGTAATAAAGTAAAACTTAACTCAAAATGCTCATGTTGACTCTCCATTTCCAAAATGTTATAGAAAGAATACCATGTTGATTGACTCGCGCACTTTTTTCCTTCATGGAAGCTATTAGATCAATCGGAAAGTTCCGTCCGTTTTTTGCAAAACATATGGCTTTATTTAAGAAATAAAATGAAAAAGTACATCAATCAAAATATTGTCCCACCAAATACAGAGCATTGCCTTCTTTCCGTGGATATTCCGCTTTGGCGCGAATTTTCAATGTTAAGGGTTGGCCGGAGTCGTAAATAGTTTTTCGACGTTTGGGGTTGTCAAAATAAATTTATTTTTCATCCCCAGTGATGATACGATGTAAAAACCCCTTTCTTTGTTGCCTAGCAAGCAGAATTTCGCAGGTGATTTTTCGCCTTTCAATGTCTCTTCATGTGGCTTCAGTTCATATGGGACCCATTTTCCTTCCTTGTAAACCTTTCAAACGATTGTAAGGCTTTCAAACGATCGGAAATGACAGATTGAGCACAATTTAACGCTTCTGCAAGTTGCTTTTGCGTTTGACATGGGTCTTCGTCTACCAATGCCTGCAATTCTTCGTCTTCGAATACTTTTGGCTGTCCAGAACGCTCTTTGTCCTCTACATAAAAATCACCACTTTTAAAACCATTCTCTGCATGTTTTATCGGAAGGAGCATTATCACCATAAACTTCTACAAGCATTCGATGAGCTTCAGCTGCAGTTTACTTCCAATTGAAGCAAAAGATTAACACTTCGCGCAAATGACGCTTATTTGGCTCAAATTTCGAAATTTTCGATGCAGTAAAAAACAATGTTATTGATGCAAACGTATATACCTTTATATACTGAATGTTATTGACAGATGTCAAAACAAACCATTAAGCTTCGTTTAGATATTAGAGGTTAACGACGGTTCTAGCTACAGCTACTTGCCGCTAGATGGACGGAACTTTCCGATTTACCTAATACAAGTGTCAGCTGTCAAACGCGTATGGGCTCATGAATTTAAATGCGTTCAGTATGTTAAATATACAACTAAAGCCATCTATCGGAAATAGACGCAATGACTTTTTGAACAACCCAATAGTTGGCTAAGCCTTTCGCTGATTGTGTACGAAAAGGGGAACTATATCACGCGGCATACAACAACCACACGCTCCGGCTTCGTCTTATCGCTCCTTCTCATTGTCGGGACTAAATTCCGCGCGGTTAACATTTTTACGCCGAGCCCACTCGAGTTTTATTCCATTTAACTCGATTGTAGTCTGCGCAATTTCCCGAGACTCGGTGCTTTTCACCTTTCCTCGGTGTATATATTTTCGCGGTACGAGAAGCAATTATCGCGTTCGGCGCTTTCGGAAGAATTTCCACGAAAGCGTCTCATAAGAATTGCTAATCGAGAGAATCAGCGTGTCGAGTCTCTCGTATATACACGCGTTTTAACAAATAAATTCCCTTTCTTTTGCACTGAAATAATTCAGCCTTCCGAGATAATTCAGCGATAAGCAGCGCCACGAAGTGTACAAAGGACTCTCGGAAAGGAAGAGAAAAGTGTCATTTCTAGAGAAGTCCCTTGAAAAATAGAGTCCCTTGACCCGGAGAGAGCGCGGCGTGATAATCTCTGTGTACGATGCGACGCAACGGCTCTACCACACAATTAAGTTTATCCGGGCCGTCAAATCAGGTTACGGCAGGCCGAGGAGGCTGCAGCGCTGCCGCAGCGCCGCGGCACCTAATCCTTACGTGAACGATACTTCAGACAAAACAGGATGCGGTAACCAAGTAGTCGTCGGCTCTCTCTCTCTCTCTCTCTCTCTCTCTCTCTCTCGTCGAAATCCGCGCGTAAACATTTAATTTACTCAAATTGACGCTGCCGAAGAGTCCTTCTGGAGACAGACAGACAGGCAGAGAGAGAGAGAGAGAGAGAGAGAGAGAGAGAGAGAGAGAGAGAGAGAGAGAGAGAAAGAGAGAGAGAGAGAAAGAGAGAGAGAGAGAGAGAGAGAGAGGCGAGAAGAAGGGTCTGCGGCCAAATTGAATTGAATTTCAGATCTTTTGTGGTCGATAAGAGAAGAGCACAGGCGGCGCCGCAAGGCCGTTTCCGGGAAACGAGCCGACACTCCGACAGACGATGATCCGTGTCGTGAAAACAACATGGCGAGCGCGATCGCATCATCAAGTACTACGTTCGCGAAGGGGAACCCTGTCGTGTTTTAATCGTGGTTTACCTCGCCAGGTGAGATTTGGCGAGCGGAAGCGAACCTTAAGCTCGCTCCCGCCTGCCCGACTCGCTGAGTCGAGGGCGCGCCATCTTTATTCGCGCGCAACGCCCACGCTGCAATTATAAATTCCGTCGACTGGGCTTTTATATCAGACGTGTATACGCGCGTCTATCAATAACCGCAGGCCTCGAATAAGACCCGATACGTGACCGGAATGACACTAGCACGGAGAAAGTAGGCGCAAGAATGTCCTACTGGGATCTCTGTTTTCTGTCCCTCTTCTCCCCCCTCTCCCCTTTTCTTTCGACCGTTTGCGCACGCCTCCTCGGGAAAACCCTTGTTTTTCTCCTCGGAGAATGACCAATAATTTTCAACGGCCGCGAATGTGTGGAAGCGTCGTCGAGGGAGATAGGGAGAGAAAGAGAGAGAGAGAGAGAGAGCGCTATTATTTATACACTTTGGGACATTTCTTCTCAAGTGCCTAAAAATTAAGTAACATAAAATTTATGTCTCGAGTGGAGAGCTGGAGGCAACACAATCAGTTCCTCATGTTGTGAATTTACTTATTTGATGCTTACAATATATGTGACTATATAAATATTGAAGTGTCCGGGAGAGAGAAGGAGAAAAAAAGAGGGATCCAAGACCGATAAAGTAAGAGAGACTCTCAGGTATCAAGCAACGTCCAAGAAGAATAGAATAAAAATGAGTCGAAGAAGAATAGAATAAAAATGAGTCCTAAATCCTCCAGCGGATCTTGACCTACGAATCGAAGGAGGGAGTCTGTTCCATAGTGATGTAACATTTGTAAGATTTAGTCCTAAGCTCAGAAAATCGGAGTCTCTCATCGGGTGCTTTAGTCTTCTCTAATGCCGCTTCAGAAGGAAATTTATTCCCAGGAAGGAAGTTCAGCGGTAACAATATTGTACGTTTGGCGTCTCCAACAAAGCAGTCCCTTCTTGCTTCAGTCTTCAGCCACTTCAGTTTCTCATAATATGGTGCATGTTTTAAACTTTCTGTTTAAAACAAAAGTTTTAAACATGT